TATTCAGAGACTTGAGGATTTGAGAGTTTGAGTTTTTGGGAGTCTGAGGATTTGGGTATTCAGAGACTTGAGGATTTGAGAGTTTGAGTTTTTGGGAGTCTGAGGATTTGAGGATTTAGAGACTTGAGGATTTGGGAGTTTGAGTTTTTGGGAGTCTGAGGATTTGGGTATTTAAAGACTTGAAGATTTGAGAGTTTGAATTTTTGGGAGTCTGAGGATTTGGGTATTTAGAGACTTGAGGATTTAGGAATTTAGAGACTTAGGGATCTGGGGATTTAATGATGTGGGAGTTTAGAGATTTGAGATTTGAGAATAGAAACAATACAAATATATATCGAAAGTACGTATATTCACTAACAGTAATCGCGTCATGGTTGATTCTGTCAACATATGATCTAATGAAAATTAATCGACGTGGCCGCAGCAAGTGTTATGATAATTCGTTTAGATTAACCGGTGTAAACATTGTCATGCAAAGTTATGCAGCGAACTAAACGTAATCATCTTCGTTGCAGTCGTCCACACACATTACGGCGGTCACGGTATTATTTAGAGGGTTACAATTACATTATACACTTACTCGACTACATTCCGTGCTAATCTAATATTCTAATTGACCATGCAGCAGCATTGGCATTATTCATTCGCACTGTTTGTAATTTCTCAAAAAGTCAAAATTAACTGCATGCTACAAAATCGATAAAGGTATTTAATGAATGTAAAGGTTTCATATAGACATCTGAAAGAAATTGATATAGGGATTTGGGGTATATAGACATTTGGGCAATGTGAGAATTTGAGTAATGTGTGAATTTGAAGAATATAAGAATTTGGGCAATATTGGGATTTTGAGATGTAGAGATCTAAATAATGATCTAGTAATCTAGAAATCTAAGAATCTAAGAATCTCGAGATATGCTTACTATTAACACATACATATGTACATATACACACATATTTAACGTGATCACACATCATAAGAAAATATACATGCTATTGTTCGAAAAACTGCATCTATCTCCAATCAAATATCATAATTACAATATTTCCGTATTATTCTCCGATTACCTCTAATTAGTCAATGAAACTCCATTAATGAAAGATTTAATTGGCAAAATGGAACGAAACAGTAGTACACAATTTTGCAGTGAATCGCGTTCGATTAATTACACTAATCACACAAAGCATTGTGTATCCGATCGCTATGGTTCGTTTCAAACTTTCAACGAAATACGAACGATTTAATTACCCAGAACAAACGGCAGGACAATTATTTATTGAGAAACTCCCGTATCGATCATGCCAATTAGTTCAACGCTGGATTTGGAACAGTTACGACGCATTTAATTGGACAACCTACATATCTGACACGTTTCCGTAGACCTAAACTGTATCACCTTACTCTAAAAAATTACTGTCAAAATTTTACCGTGTTTAAAACAATCTTAAACAAGTTTAAAAACAATCTTGAAATAACTATCTCACAAAGGATAAAATTTCCTTTCGCCGTTTAATTTATCTGCCGTTTGAACGAATCTCTCGAACATCCTGTACGTTGAAGCTGCGCTTACCCCGAAGCAATCCTCGTGCAAATATAAAATCAAAAAGCAGGTATGTTTACTCTCGATGCCATAACCGATCCTCTCGAATAACCAGATTTCAAACGGGACGACTCTGAAGTCAGATGTGACGATAAAATTTGTGGAATCCAGGGACGAATCGATATTTACAGTTTAGTTTGGATATGAGGGACAATGATCTGTCTACACATATGAACGACAAAATGAAACCACATATGATGTTTGGCGGTCGCGAGTAATAGGTTCAGGGGGTACCAGGGGCGACACAAAAAATTAGGGAAGGGTAGGGTTAGTGTAGGTGTACTGCATTTTGGAGTATTGTTCTGGGTCACTCAGTTGGACTTTTGGGGGATTAAGGATTTTTGAGGTATTCTACTGGATTCGAGGCGATCATGTGTTTGTGGGATACTCTACTAGGGCAATCAGGAGTTTTGGGACACTCCACTGGATTTGGGGATTTTTGGAGAACTCCACCAGGTTTTCCACGACCAAGGTTTTTGGGGCACTCTACTGGATCTGAAGTGATCAGGGGTTTTTCAAGGTTCTCCACTAAGTCTATGGCAATCAGGAGTTCTAGGACAATCGAGATCTCCGTTAATCAAGGGTTTTAGGGTACTCCGTTGGATCTGGGGCGATCAGAGTTTTCTTAAGGTACTCTACTGGGTTTTGGGCAATGAGAATTTTGGAGCACCCCGCTGAATCAGGACTTTTGAGATACTCCGCTAGGTCTGTGGCAAACAAGGTTTTTAGGACAATCGAGATCTGCTTTAATCAAGGGTTTTGGAGTACTCCGTTGGATTTGAGATCAGGTTTAAAACAATCAGAGATTTTGGTTCACTTAGCTAGGTCTGAGACAATTAAAACTTTCATGACAATCAAGATTTGCATGAATCAAGAATTTTGAAGTATTCTTGGGTCGAAAGCTATCAGAGAACTAGAACATGAATGGAAGCTTCCACCAGAACTTCACTATGGTGGGATATTACTCTATATTCAGTAACATATGCAACGCAACAGAACAAATTCACTTGACACCTACAAATGATATTTGTAAAACAGAAATTTTGAATAACCCACATCACCAGATACTATCTCCAGGCAACTTTCTTTATCTTTCCGTCAAAACGGATGCAACGTTCATAATTTATTCTCATTGCAACTCCGTTATACTACAACGTTGCTGCTCGTTAAAGTCGGGTTATCCTATTGTTCTATTGTTCCATTGTGACTAGTTTCAGTACAGTGATAAATAACAACGTAGCAAATTTCTTCTTACCACGAATATCGATATTCGCGTTAAAATATGATTATAAGCCGATTACACGGCGTACGGGTATCTTGTCGTGCACTTCACATATCGTTTTCACTTTATGACACTTGGAACATGGTATATTTTAGCGAATGTTGCATAATTTGATTCTTGGGTATAAGAAATTCTATGAAAGTAGGTGAGCAGGTTCATTTTGCATAGGTAGTGCTGAATATTCCAATAATATGACAAACTCCCGTTATATTGCCGCTATTGTATGAATTTGCAAGTATGTGATGATGACGTTTCTTATGATGACTTGTGATGATTTTAAAAAATAATCTAAATTTTTAATAGTAGAACTATGCGTTATTTTTGGATGAATTGCGTTCACCACGTGTTATATTGCCATGTGTTAAATCGCCACGCGTTGTATTCTCCACGTATTGTATTTGGTACGCGTCGTATCACCACGCGTTGTATTTTCTACGCATTGTATTCGTACGCGTTATATCACCACGCGTTGTATGGCCACCCATTGTAATCTCCATATATTGCATTTTGTACGCGTTGAATTTCTACGCATTGTATCGCCACGCGTTGTATTCTCCACGCATTGTATTTGGTACGTGTCGTATACCACGCGTTGTATTTTCTACGAATTGTATTCGCACGCGTTGTATCACCTCGCGTCGTATCACCACGCGTTACATTGTCCATATATTGCATTTAGTACGCGTTGAATTTCCACGCGTTATATCGCTACGCGTTGTATTCTCCACATATTGTATTTGGTACGCACCGTATCACCACGCGTTGTATTTTCTACGCATTGTATTCGTACGCGTTATATCACCACGCGTTGTACTCTTCATATATTGCATTTGGTACGCGTTGAATTTCCACGCGTTGTACTCTCCATATATTGCATTTGGTACGCGTTGAATTTCCACGCATTGCATCGCGACGCGTTGTATTCTCCACGTGCTATATTCAGTACACATTGTATCACGACGCGTGGTATTTGTCTCGCATTATATCGCCGCCCTATATACCGCCACACACCGCACCATTCAATACATCACCACAATTTACAAAACCCAATATAACGTCAAAATAATCTCCATTCCAATAAATTATTCCCAAGAACTATCCTCTACAATCTCTCCAAACGGCAATATAACGCGAGTCCATAATTAAGAGCATACGTAATTTTTATTTCGGATTACATGAACCCAAAACGAAACTCGGAAAGTAATAACACGGTTCCCTTAAATTACCAATAAATGGTCAATATTTTCGTAAGGAGTTTAATTATCGCACGAGGATATTGCCCTCGGCTCACGTTCCGTAATTCTGCCCAGTTAACTTGTAATTAACGTGTCACATAACGTTACTTTATCTTTACGCCGGTGAGCTGTAATGCATCAAGGTAACACCGTGTTATTACTGAAATTTAATAAAAGAACTGTATTCATTTATCGGGGTTATAACTACTCAGCATTTACCCGTTATCTACATGTAAGCAGAACTGCGATAAAAATAATTGTAACTCGAGAGCCAGATACACTAAATGATTCATTTTAAATGTTACAAGTCTAACTGTACATTTAATATATCATCCTTATTTCGTTATTTCAATTCTAACTGCACTGATAAGATAAAGTGGTGCAGGAAACCTTGCGTAGGAAACTGTTTAGTTACGCTTTAATTGAAATCTAGACTATCACTTTGTTGTATAGTGACATATTTGTATGGTGCTTAAAATTTTCAAGCTTTGAACTACGTATTAGAGAAACTTGTCAGGGTGTAGAATAAACTACATATCAAATGTTCATTTACTCAAATTGTAAAAATGAATGACAATAAATAAATGATACAATATAACAACATGAATGAACAAGAATAAAATAACAGAATCAAAGTAATTGTACTATAAAGATACAGTAATGTGGTGTTGCAGATTTATATTATATTATCAGTCATTGACAGTGTAAATATTCAAAGGCAATTTTACTGAAAAAATGAATAAAGTAGTACTGAAATAGTATAAGTCTATAAAGCACAACTTGGAACTGAAATTTCAGTTATTTCAGCAATTGCTGAATTGTCCGCGTTATTCTTAATCCCAGTCGCCAGCGCAGTGTATTAGAAGAGCAAAGTGTATTCACCTTTTCGATGGCTTCCAACGCCGCTTCAAAACTCCCAGCATGAGTAAACCGACGAAAACGAGGCCCAAGTGCCAACGAGCTTCCGACTCCCAGGAGCGTATCAAGCACCACCACCAAAACCAATCACCACACAACCACTGGTCAACCTTGTCGATCTTTCCGAAAGATCTGTTTAATCACTCGAGTCACACCATGATCCTCCACGCTGTTCCCTCTTATACACCGTTATTATCCTCTAATCACCCGCAAAAAATTTCTCTACCACGTGAACGGAAAACAATTAACTCGAGCCCCGTTCGTAGCGTCGCTTTATCGAATACTATCGATAAATTTCTCGAAGTGTCTACGATTAATGAGATACAACAGACTATTATCGTTTCTTCTTTCTAGAGATAAAACGTACAAGTGAATTACCGATGTTTCGTTATCAATTATTGTACGAAACACATTCTCGGAAGATAAGTTTCTATAGCAGACTATAGTTCTGCGATATACATAATAAGATGTTTGCACGTCAATGCAGGTGAACGTCCTGCTATAGTAACCCGTTTACGTACGAAACGTGTCGATAGCACTGACATGTTAACTTCAGGAGGATAAAAATGAACGTTAAAATCAAACACTGAGTCAGTGACATTTCTCCTCTGTTATCTGTATATGTAACTATGCGAATCGTGTATGTTTTCGACCTGTGGCGCGGGAGGACAAGGTTAATTCACACGGACGTTGGAGGTCAATGATTGATACCACAAGTTATAGGGTTATTTTCGAATTTCAATTTTTAGAATTTTGGAGGTCGAAAGCTTGGAATTTTTGAAATTTTAGGATGTTGGAACTTTGGAATATTTGAAATTTTCGAATAGTGGAACTTTGGAATATTTCAAATTTTAGGATATTAGAACTTTGGAATTTTTGAAATTTTAGGATGTTGGAACTTTGGAATTTTTTAGATTTTAAGCTATTTGAACTTTGGAATATTTGAAATTGTAGGATATTAGAACTTTGGAATCTTTGAAATTTTAGATGTTGGAACTTTGGAATTTTTGAACTTCAGAATTTAACAATTTTAAAGTTTTTAAAGTTTGGAATGTTGAGATATTAGAATTTCAAGATTTTAGAACTTTGGAATTTGAAGATTTCAGAGTGAGTGAGCTTTGGAATTTTCAGGTATTAATATTTTTGAATTTTAACATTTCAGTACTGCTTTGAAATTTGAAGACTTTCATATTTGAGAATTTTAGAGTTCTTGAACACTGAAACTTCTAACCTCACAATTTTACAACTTTCAATTTAAAATTTTACTATTTTGAAAGTGTGACACTTTCGATCTTTAGGATTTTGAAATTTTTAAATTCTAAAAGTTGTATCATAACAGTAAAATGTTTATATAACAGAGCTTTAGATATTACTTTACTGAAATCTTTGAGGCTTGGAAATAATTTTTGAACTCTGAGAGCTAAAAAGAATTCCAGAACTCTGAAGTAATTTTGAATAAAGAAATTTAGAACTTTAGAAAGATAATAAGTGTGTTGCGAAAAATTACCATTTTCGAAAGTATGTCGTGGCTTGCGAAAGTTTGAGAAGTTCCACTTTACTATCTTATCAACTAGTTAAATGTTACAAGACGGTTTCAATAAAATGATACTAGTACGAATTTATGGTAGAATACCGTCTATCTGAAAATTAATAAAATCGAATAATTGGAAGAAGAAGTTGTTGGATTCCTGTAAGTAATCACTGCACTTCTTAATAATGTTGTAATTCTAAATATAGTGATATTGTGTTATGAATGGTTCTTGAATGGTTTATGCACTAAATTTTCATTAATAATATATTCTATTATATTATTCTATTACTCCATTAATTATTATATAAATGATTTATCTAAGAGACATTGCACAATCTTTTTTTTGAAGCTCTGTGACGTAACAATTCTTAATCTATTTTCTCAGCAAGATTAAAAGTACGCATAAACCATCAAAATTCTAAATACACAGCTTTAATATCTCTTCAATAAAATTGAATTTCTTCAATAAAATAAAACATTTGATCACGACCATAGCACGGCCATTTTCACACCGCCATTTCACTTATAAACCAGAAAACACCACAAAATGCTATCGACACGTCCTCAACTTCGCAGTGAAGTCCCTAATATAATCATCCCTAATATAATCATTTAACGCGTGTGGTCTTTAGCGATTGCGCTCTAAATGGACAGAGAATAAATAACTCGATATGAGGAATCGACTAATTGCCGCTGATCCATCCGCGAAGACTTATAACAATTTCTCCGTCGAATAATTTCTCACACAACGATAGTCATCGCTGCGGACGTGTACGTACACGAGATACGTCTGTCGCTGATTAATTAGCTGCCAATGTTGTCGGCGAGAACGTTCTCTAGGTCCTCTGATTAATAACCCTCCTTCCGAAATAATAAATTACAAATTGCGATAACGAAGCCAATAATTAACTCGACGCTTTAAAAGAAACTTCTATACGCTCTTGAAGTTACATTCTATTTCATCATTATCAACGATCTGGAACGTTATCGGGACATCGATACCGCGAATCGTTCAAATAATTTATGTACGGAGTTGACACTGAAGCGATGCTTAACCGTGTCACATTGCTCGTTTTCGATGAACTACGAAATAAACATTTTGCTCCGCTTATGAGGTTACGTCAATAATTCAGGACTAGCAGAAGTACAACTTCGTTTTTGACAGCTTCGATGTAAGTAAACTTCTTTGGTGCACGTTTCATGCGAATTCGATTTATTTATTTTGACACCCAACTTTAGTGGGGGATGAAGGTGTTATGACGAGGAGCAAGAATAGTGTTATCTATTGATGTCGTCACTGTTTTTCATATTTTATTAATTGAAGAACAAATGGATAAATGTGATCTTAAAGTACATATGATCTTACAGTTAACGAATAGCCTTGTGCACCTTGGCGCAGGTCAAGGCCAGACTTGAAAAATTCACCAAAGATAAAATTGATCAACTCGTTAACTGTATTATATATATTTTCATATTACAGAATGTATCAACATTGCCAAATTAAAACAATGTTATAAGCAGTTGTCAAAGTCGAAGTTGCACCCCTTAGGTCCTCAACCCTTTTATCAACACTGGAGGAAGAAAATAATTCAGTATTGATATTTCTACTAAATATTTCATTGCTCGAGAGTTGAAATAATTTATGTCCAAGGTTGACACAGAATGGAGTTAAACGCTGTCACATCGTTCATTTTCGACAATAAATAACAAAATCCAATAATTTATCCCGGACAATGGACAATTAATCTAACAGACATTCGCAACAGAAACCGTGAATGGAAAAAAACGCGCGAACATAATCGCGCTCCAGAAAAGTGCGTGCCTACGCGTACGTAGGGGCGATCGATCGCCAACTCGCGTCGACCGATCGATATTTCAGAAGAATCTGCGTCGCAATATTTACGTTTGATATCTTTGAAAACAGGCGCTGAAGCCTGGGGAAGACAAGGTAGCTGTCTGTCCGCGTGCAAGCGTTAACAAAACAAACATCTCACTCTTTTTCAACGTTCAATGAATCATCGCGAGTCGCGTGTGAACTATCACTGAAATGACTCCAATTTTTTTCCCTAAAGACCACACGATCGGAAACCGCGTACGACGCTACGAATCGGTGCTGGTTACCTACGTTTTATCTGACCACGTTTACGGCAAGTCAACGCGAAAAACACTCCGAGTCAACGACGAACCGATGCGAGTTGCGACGAAGAAACGAGCGTTGATCAGGCGGAAGTCGCGCGCGGAACACACAGACGCGAACCGGCTGCGCGCCGAACTCGAACTGAAGACAGAGATGGCAGACACGCGGTACTCCTTCCCGACTCCTCGTTTCCCCCACCCTCGCACAAACACTACAGGCTTCCCCTTCCACGCGGCTCAAGGTACCGCGGATACGGAGCGCCCGTGCTTACTTTAATGATATCAATTTAATTAGATACGAAAATGAGACACGGATGGGTCACAAGCTAATGATCAATGAGTTACATATAGTTACATATGTTCGAGACAGTCACCATTTTATCTGATACAATAATTTGAAATAAGCATTTTTTAACTGATTCTATAATATGATACGTGTATATTTTATTAGTATAGAAATAACCTCGAAAGAATTCGTTTAACTTTTTAACTAATAAATTTTAAAGTTGCTGTTCAGCAGTCAAATTACCTTCGAGTTGCAAAGCAAAGGGTTGACAGCAAACCTACTGGCGTATGTGTACTTAATTTGAGACGAAAAATTAGGTGAAAAAATGAATAAACAAAACATAAATTAGTATATACATTAATTCTTCATGTTGATGGAGGTCAATGCAGATATCAGAATCACAAATTGTGTAATTTATAATAAGGATCTTGTGGAACGGTTATTTGATCGGTTTGGTAATTGAATGTTAACTTGCACTATTTGTCTGGTGTGTCAGTTAGAACTACTCACAGATACAATATTAAAAATGACAAAGAAAGTTGAAATGTTATGTCATTTCATTATTTTGGTGTCAATCGTTGACTATGCATTGGACTAAAATATAAGAATAGGAAACATAAAATTGATAAAATTCTTAAATTGCATGCAAGATTAAAGTATATCTGGTACCATTACTATCGCGATATTTTACAAGCAAATAAAAGATCGTAAACCAGGAGTATTTTATGAACTGAAATGAATCAAGCAGTCTCCTAAGCTGTGGGATTGTGCGTACATCCTGTAACCCGGGTACAAAAAGCCCGAAACATAAGAGTGGATGAGCTCGACTAATGTTACATAATCCTCGTGTTCTCCGATCTTATTACGAAATGATTAATTCGTACTCGTGTCGCTGAAATTCTTCAAAAAAAAAGTTAGAAATAACCAATAAAATTATCGCTGAAATACGACGTTAATCGATAATATTTAATCCGGATTATAAAATGTATTATCGATGCTGCACATCGAACGTCCCGGCGAAAAATTAACGGGACAATTATTAGAACATCCTCTGACATTTCTACATCCCTCGACAATATTTTATTTTTCCTGTACAACGATAAAAGGTTGCCCTGATTTTCTTTCTATTTTTAGGGAATCGCGTCACGAAATTACGGGGAGCTTTAATTATAGTGGTTAGTAATAGGGTTATAAAATACTGGTAGCACGCTAATTTGATAATTTTGAAATTACGAAACTCTTAGAGTCGAGAGTTTTAAGAATTGAAGATTGTTGGAAAAGGGGTTAAGAAATAATTTGTTACGCTGTGAATTGATTAAATTTAAAATGTTTCTTTACTGATCTCACTGGAAGAGGAAGATGAAAATTAATTAATAAACACAGAACTTATTTAAATAAAAACTGGGCTCAATTAAATTTATAGAAGTACAGAGTGTCTCATAATTAGTGTAGATCCCTGAAATGGTGGGTAGCTGACGCTATTCTGAATAAGATTTCCCTCTACAAAAATGGGGTATGTAGCTCCGTTTTTGAATTATTGAGGAAAAACACGGACCAATCAGAGCGCGAGGATTACGCATGTGCAGACGCGAGAGCGACAGTTTCGAGCTAGCGGCGAGTGGTAAATGCAATGTATAGTATATTCAACGCTTGGTGAGTGCAACGCGTAAGAAATCAATGCGTGGTGAATGTAACGCGTGGTAAATACAAGGCGTGGCAAGTACTATGCGTGGTAG